AGTTGTCGCACCGTGGTTTTGAGTTAGGCACAGATAGCGACAGAGAGTACGGATGTGACAAGTTGCCCATAAACGCGGAAGCCACAGATTCAAGTGGCAGCCCAGTTGAAGGTCGAACAAACTCATCCATGAATATATCTGCACACCATAGTGGGGATAAAAGAAAAACCAAGCATAGGTAGGGGAAAGCAAAGAAGAAAATGTTCGGTGCACGAGAGGTTTCGACTTCCCTTGAACAGATGGTTAGTGTTGGAACGGATCTTACTTCAATTGCCCCACTCGTATCATAAGGGAGGAATGACAATTGATGCATGCGTTGACGAACTTCTGTCGACTGGCCATATTTAGGAAGGTGATCGGCTCCACCTCTTTGCCTTATAGTTCCTCCGGGACAAAGACAATCGGNCCACCTATTTGCCTTATGGTTCCTCCGGGACAAAGACAATCGGAACTCGTACTGTGCTGCGAAAACACCTCACTTGTGATTTAAATTCATCGAGTACTGTTTCGAGCGAGACAATATGTCCATTAATCGTAAGGATTGAGCGCTCCATCTGAACGTTTGCGATGAGTTTTTATTGTTTTTCTCGTTGTGTTCGGACGATTTTATTTGTACATCACGTGTGTTACATTTTCCTTTTATTTATTACTTCGTGTATCGTAGAACCTTCGCCTTTGTGTTATAATATGAATTATCATGTCGATTCCACTACCTTCGCACGTTTAAATGTTATGATGAACTTTTGTGATAATCAAACTTCCATGGACTGCAGGGAAAATATTCTCGTCATCATGATTTAAAATTTCTTGCATGCTACAATTCCATCGGTTTTCCAACACCACATTATTACTCCAACCTATGGTAGATTAATGTTTTCAACAAAACAATATTCAATATGAGAATTTTTATGATTGCAGGGAAGAAACATTTTTATGGTATAGACTTTCTTGCATGCTACAATTATTAGGGCCACCTTTGTCATTAACTTTATCAACAGAAACAAGAGTCAAAAGGCTGCAGGGAAGAATCAAAGTTGCTACAAATTTCTTTCATGCTACAGTTCCTAATTTTTTCCCCGAAACACACATTATTGCTCCCACTAAGTTGCATAAATTTTTCAACAACACAAGGCACAGTGGGCTGAAAGAAATATATTCCCATCAATTGTAGTAGAAGTTTTGTCATCAATACCTTTGGTTGAGTAAAACAAATAGGATATATCAATAATTCAACGAACAGAACTTAAAATAATTAGTACTCCTGTGGTTGAAGTTCTATAAATGGCAACTGCACGAGACAAGCAATCTTGTTCATAACTCAAAACGATGTCTGATACTTCAGATGTGTACGCATCTTCAGAAACAGACTGCGACGTTCAATCGATGTCTGATTCAGATAGTGGTT